TTACCATCTCCATAGTGATGGAAGTGTCTGGGTAAAGGCTACATGGCCATTCCAGGTTACTGGAGAAAGAATTATTGATCTGGGAGTAGGCTTTACCAAATAATCACTAGGTGCCTTCATGGCCTAAAAGTTTATAGATGTGGCTATAATCGATTCCTGAAAATTGAGCTGGTGGATTATAAAGTTTGGTTGTATATTCCAATGAGGGAAAAAAAATGGAGCTTCAAATGTGATAAAGATGGATTAAGCAGCTTTTGAAATATAAAATGGCCATATCTTAATAAAATGTTGCCAACTAGTTAGAAATTTAGCTGTTGTACTAAAGCTTCATGTATTGTGCCAGAAATTTCATTAACTTGAGGAAAGATTCAGAGGAGGGAGCCATGTGCTCTTGGTAGTTACAGTGACATGGCTGTACAGTGAAATTCAGGATATCTTCTAGTATTTTAGACCTATAGGTTGAGATAAAAAAATGAAATTCAAACTTGTTTACTCAATATGTGCTTAGGCACTACAGCAATCGATCTGCTCTCATTTAGCTTTCACCGAAATGATGCTGGTCAAGGTCACCCAAGGATTCCCCCCTTCCCATCCCCTGCCTGTTACTAGATCTGTAGGATTAACACCTAACTTGTTTAAGATTAACTCCGATTCGGTTCTTTGATTGGGTGACATTTTTTCTTTATACTCCCTGTACTTAAAAATCTTATTTAAAGCAGTTTACCATTAGGAACACATATACAATAAGGCTGATGAAAATGTTTAAAAATGAGAATTATATGAAAAATCTAAGTTAGGTTTTATAGTGACACATAGTGCTGGAGGTTTTTAACAACCAAAGCAATAATAAAAACATACTATAGGGCTTCCCTGGTGGCGCAGTGGTTGAGAGTCCGCCTGCCGATGCAGGGGACACGGGTTCGTGCCCCGGTCCGGGAAGATCCCACATGCCGCGAAGTGTCTGGGCGCGTGAGCCATGGCCGCTGAGCCTGCGCATCCGGAGCCTGTGCTCCGCAACGGGAGAGGCCACAACAGTGAGAGGCCCATGTAGCGCAAAAAAAAAAAAAAAAAAAAAAAAAACTATAATTCCTACCACCTGATTCATATCTCAACAGAAAGAATTTTCAAGGCAATAAATTCAAAGAGGTATTTACCTAATGTTTCTTTAACCTAAGAATATGGATCTACATAATAAATGATAATTTCAACAATAGCTCTATGGCGGATGCAGAAAGTTATTAATGATAACAGTTTATGTTTATTGTGTATTTACTATATACTAATCTTTGACAAATACCGTGAGTATAATTCTAAAACTTTTAGCAGTGCTGAGACTAGAATATTGATTTTCTAATTCAGAAATGTTTCCATTTTTTCCAGTATACTGTCCTATACATACCATATATGGAAAAGAAGTTGGCTGTGGAATTAAATACACACATATGTGTGTGCAAATATGAGTGTAAAGCTTCCATAACACACACAGCACATATACACACACAGGCACCTTTGCCAGTGCCAATGATCCTACTGAAATTAGAGATTAGTCCTTTTAGTAAATAAAAATAATTCCATTAATTTAATTATTAAAGTCACACAGGGACTTCCCTGGCAGTCCAGTGGTTAAGACTCAGCACTTCCAATGCAGGGGGCACGGGTCAGCTCCTGGACAGGGGAACAAAGATCCCATATGCTGTGGGGTGCGGCCAAAAAGAAAAAAAAAATTCACACAGCATCTGTCAAGCTGATGATTTACTATGCTTTTTATTGGTTATCCTTGTCTATTTCTCATGGTCCATCAGGTCATGATTTTTCTGTTTCATCATCTCTCTTCCAGTCACTATGCACCAATCAATACCCAGAAGACAAACAAAACTAAGCCTACGATAAAAACAAATCTGGGATTTGAACTTAACACCAGCCATCAAAAGTCTGTATCAACACACAAAGAAATAGAATTTATTCCTTTTCTCCTTTTACAAATGTCCTCAGCCCTACATGCTAATAATAATTTTATTAGCGACATTAAAACAATGTCTGCATGAAAAACAGCAGGGCTCTGGGATATAGTAATACCACTCACTAGCTTTCAGCCCATCAGAAAGAATATTAACAGATAAATTGTTGGCACGCTTAGAAGACCAGGAAACTGACCACCTGTTTGTTTTTTTCTTTTAGTTATTGACAAATCCAAATGGCTAAACTGCCTTGAGCTGTTTTAGATTTAAAAAATACATAAATTTGGACGTAACAAGTTATTCTCTTACGGCAAATCAACTACTGAAAACGCATAGAAATCGAAGAATTATAACCAAGTGATCATCCAGCAATTCCCCAAATTGTGAGCCTTATGATACCCCCATGCCCAGCTTTAAGCCAGGCAAAGAAGTTTAAATTAGTGGTTCTTAAAGTGTGGTCTCTACCTGCTGTGAACTTGTTAGAAATGCAAATTCTTGGGTTCCACCTAGTACACTGAATCAGAATTTTAGGGGGCCCAAGACTAGTGTTTTTGTTTTTGTTTTTTTTTCTTTTTTTTTTTTCGGTACGTGGGCCTCTCACTGTTGCGGCCTCTCCCGTTGTGGAGCACAGCCTCCGGATGTGCAGGCTCAGCGGCCATGGCTCACGGGCCCAGCCGCTCCGTGGCACGTGGGATCATCCCGGACCAGGGCACGAACCCGTGTCCCCTGCATCGGCAGGCGGACTCTCAACCACTGCGCCACCAGGGAAGCCCCAAGACTAGTGTTTTGATGAGTTCTCTAGGTGATTCTGGTGCTCACTAAAATTTGAGAACTGATCTGAATGAAGGGCTTCTCAGCATTTTGTTTCCTTTGCGGCCTCAGTTTATTCCTAACTTGCATCCTCATTCTTAACAATCAACTCCTGCCACTTATCATAAATCTACTCATTGGAAACTGCACTCAAGCATGGCCTATGTAAGTGAGGATGTTCCATCAATCTCCACTGTCTTGCCCCAAGAGGAAAACATCTGTGGTACCCTTTCCTCAACCTTTGCTGTTCTTTCCTCAGCTGCAGCTGCCGCGCACAGTGGGGCTGTGTAGCTTTCAGAGGATCCATCAAGACTGCTTGACTCATTGATTGCAGTCCTTATACACAAACCACCTGCATGTGGGTGCCCATGGCCCTCAGGTTGCCCATATCACAGCCTCTCTGCCAACTTGCCACGTGAACCTGCTGCCCATGGCTGCTGAGGTCTCTGCCTGTGGATGTTCTGGGCTTTGCTTAATCCAAGAAGGTGGCCTATGGCACTATATGACCTTGAGTCCACTTGGAGGAGGAGGTCTGGTACTCCAAAGGATAAGCAAGTGATGGTGAAGACCCAGCACATACAGATGCATCAAATGAAGAACTGGAGATGGGCTCTGTTTTTTAACAATCATTTGCAGTGGAGGGAAATGAGGCAGGGCATCCTGAAAACTCTCATGTTCTTTTTGGTACCCAACACTAAATTCCCCTTGGTTGGCTCCTTTCTTTGTCTCCAGAGTCATATTTCTATATCTGGGGCATGTGCAAAGACAATGAACTAGGTAAAGCAGAAACCTTACTGTCAATATTCACTGAGTTCATGGTAATATGGACACAGGCAAATGTAAATTATTGATTAAATTCCAGTAAATTTTGGACAACTTATATGTTATAATAATGAAACTTTATTTCTAATATGTCACTAATGTCGAGAGAAAGGTATCAGTGGATTACTTTGGTTATATTTCACAATATCAAACAATTTTTTCATCTGACCTTTTTCTATTATCAAAATGCTCAGTTAGGGACTTCCCTGGTGGCACAATGGTTAAGAGTCCATCTGCCAATGCAGGGGACATAGGTTTGATCTCTGGTCTGGGAAGATCCCACATGCCGCGGAGCAACTAAGCCCATGCGCCACAACTAATGAGCCTGAGCTCTAGAGCCCGCGAGCCACAACTGCTAAGCCCATGAGCCACAATTACTGAAGCCCGCGTGCCTAGAGGCCATGCTCCGCAACAAGAGAAGCCACTGCAATGAGAAGCCCGCGCCCCACAACGAAGAGTAGCCCCCGCTCACTGCAACTAGAGAAAGCCCGCGTGCAGCAACAAGACCCAACGCAGCCAAAAATAAATTTAAAAAAAAACAAAAAAAAAAACGCTCAGTTAATGAGCCCACTTGGTAGTGGACCCGGTATTTGTTTGTCAACCTCCACTGCACTGGTGTAGGAATCAGAGGAAATCTGCACCTCTTCTATAGCTTTCTTAATCAAAAACTGTAGTGAACGACTTAATATGAAGTTTTCAAAAATGCTCTTAAAAGGGTTTGGTGGATGAAGCTGCTTTTGGCTATTTCTGTCCCCAACATTACCTCCTTCCTCCAGCACAGAATGACTCTGCCACTCTGAAACCATCTGGCATATGACGCTGCTACGTGAAAAGCTGAAGGGGAAGAGTGAGTCCAGGGAGGGCCCGGGGACTGAAGAAGGCTCCTAACCTGATTCATACCAGCTATAATTTGCTGCTTGTCTACAGCCAGAAGAAGAGTTTATGGTTCTGCATCACCAGACTCTAAGACCCCTCAGAACACTCCCCCAGGATCTCTCTCCCCAGTGAGGAGTCTAACACCACATTCATTTTGAATTAGTGCTGACACCGATCACAACAGCCAACCGTTCCTCTCCACATTGTATTGAAACAGGTAAAAGGGAGGAAGTGACCTTAGGGTCACTGTATTTTTTAAACACCTCTGCAGAAATAGCAAGGCCAATTCCTAAGTACTCAATAAATAGACTTTAATTCTTAACGAACAATAAGAGAGAGAAAAGCTCATCTCAGAACAAGCTGTCATTTCACTAAAAAAGCAGAAAAATTGCTAGCATTGGCATCAAGTGCTTCTTGTTTAATACAGCTCCTCTGATTAGAGAAAAAGTTTTATTCCTCTCTCCTAGGAAGAATTTCATCTTAGTTCTCTCTCCCACAGCTCTCTCAAAGGGAATATGTTTGTTGTTTGTTTACCTCCTTCAGATCCTGCACGACGGCTGTGAGCCTCTCATTTTCTGCCTGCACGTTGGCCACCACAGCCCGGCTCTGTTTCAGTTCGTTCTGCATCTCCAAGATCTTCCCCAGATAGTAAGCTTCCTTCGATGCTGACTCCTGCAGAAGTGTTTCCTCCCGAGTCTCTCCATCCTCAGCAACCTTACGGTGGATAGAGAAGGACTGCCCAAATGCCTGCAGAGGATTTGGAAAGAAAAAGAGCACACAGTGAAATGCACCACTGCACTATTCAACAGACTTGGGAACATGATTTGTTTTACTTTGTGTAAAAGAAAAGGTATTCTGCAAGACTTCCAGAAGCAAAAAGTACATAGTTCATCTAACAGGCTAGCAGCTCTCATTGACACTTGAAATAATTCAAATTCAATTAAGGAGAAAGAAAAATATTAAGTATTTTGCTAATATATATATATATATATATATATATAAAACAGGTTAAAACTTGAAAAACATTGCTGCTTGTTTTATGTTACCATTTTTTAGACAAATCTTTTTAAGGAATAGACAGTTCAGTGCTAATGAGACCTTCAAAATTCATATTCTCATTTTCATTCCAGAAAAAATCCCAAAAGAAATTTTCAAGAAAGAAAATAGTTTCATTAGCTTTCTAATACATTAGTGGTAAGAATATACCAATTATGAACAATGCCCTTAAGAGAGAAAAATCACCAAACAGCTTTCAAACTGCCTGGTACCACAAAAGACATTCAAATGCAATCAATGTATAAGAAAACATATCTGTGGAAAAAGAGATACGGAAAAATAAGCCAGAAAGTAATGAAATTGGTAAGCTACGGGGGGTGAGTGGGAATGGGGTAGAAAGAATGAGGGAATGAAACACTATACAAGGGATCACATTTCATAGGAGTCACACTTTTCTGAGAATGCCTTTTCATATCGCTCTGACTCTTAAAACTACAGTAAGGTTTCACATACCTCCCAAATAAATAATAATGAAAATCAGCCTCTATGTGTCCAGGTACCCAAATGGAACACAAATAGTAACAAATGAATCCAGCTGTACCGCAAATGAAGAACAGGACCACACTGAAAGGTTGAGAAGAAAAGATCTAAACTGATTGGGGAAATCAGTATTTTTGCTATACACAGTAAAGCTAAAAACAAAAAGAACTGTACCCAAACACTATAGTATAGTTAGTAAATTTGTTTCTCACAGGGATTATGGAATCACAATTCTGAAACTTCTTTACATGTATACTAGGGCTGAGGAAATAAGTAAATATATTATGGATAATGAAAGACAGGTTTCTCCCTCTTGGAGAAAGGCATTACAAATAAGGAAAGGGAGAAGTCTAGAAGGAAACTAGTGGTACTGGGTTGTAATTAGAATTATCAGGATGGTCTTTAATAGGGAGATAGGTCGATAGATGGAGAGAGAAAGGTGCTTGTGTGTGTGTGTGTGTGCGTGTGTGTGCGTGTGTGTGTGTGTGTGTGCATACAGATTTCCTAGCTCTGTCAGCAAACCCTGCGGCCAAATTTTGTTTCTAAATATCAATCTCCAGTTAAAAGAACTAGGGCTCTTGGAAGAAATGATGGAGTCTCTCACTGGAGCAAAACGAACTTGGTGCATCATGTGGTGCCAAAGAGTAAGTAACAAAATGCTTTTAAAAAAATGATGTGGGGCTTCTCTGGTGGCGCAGTGGTTGAGAGTCCGCCTGCCGATGCAGGGGACATGGGTTCGTGCCCCGGTCCGGGGGGATCCCACATGCCGCGGAGTGGATGGGCCCGTGAGCCATGGCCACTGAGCCTGCGCATCCAGAGCCTGTGCTCCGCAACGGGAGAGGCCACAACAGTGAGAGGCCCGCATACCGCAAAAAAAAAAAAAAAAAAATGATGTGGATATGTCAAAGGACACAAGAGCCTACATGAAGGGGCTCCCAAGGGCTAAATATGGGATAATTGGGGGAAACAAAGCAGTTATAGTAATGAATTATAATCCATAGAATAAAATAAATATTCATGAGCCCACATTAATATAATAACTGAATAAATAAGAGAAGGAATAGCTCTTCTTTACAGTAGGATTCAAATCATTTAATTCTAATAGAAATCAAATACATCAGCATTACTTGACATCAGCATATTACTTGGCAAACACCAAGTAATAATAGTTGCAGGTAAAGATTATCAGTGGAATATAAAATAATAGGCAAAAACTATGATGAGAAACAGGATATTTGCATAGTCTTAAAGCATGTCCTCCCAAGATATTTATTAATTCCAATGGGAAAAATAGTAACTGTGCAGTGGAGTACCCTGGCAGACCTTAACTAAATGACCAAAAGTTAGCTCAGCAGCAACAAGAAATACTAACATCGTGTACCCTCTGATATAACACACTGAGGGGAGAACAGAGTCACTTCTGTGGTATTTCTGCCAAAAATGAGTAGGCCAATTCTTACTATAAGAAAACATCAAGCAAACCCAAACGGGAACATTCTACAAAATTATTGGCCAGGACTCTTCGAAAGTATTAAGGTCAGGAGAAATAGAGGAAGACTCCTCCAGACTAGATGAGACTAAGAAAATATGACAATTAAATGCAGAATGGGATCCTGGATTGGACCCTGACCTGAAAAAAAGACTTTAGGACAATTGGCAAAACTGAAATACATTCTTGTTTTTCTTTTTTGTTTTAAGCAGAGGTCTTCTTAGAAGCCCATACGATTTAAGTTTATTTTTTAATTTATTTATGGCTGTGTTGGGTCTTCGTTTCTGTGCGAAGGCTTTCTCTAGTTGTGGCAAGCGGGGGCCACTCTTCATCGCAGTGTGCGGGCCTCTCACTATCGCGGCCTCTCTTGTCGCGGAGCACAGGCTCCGGACGCGCAGGCTCAGTAGTTGTGGCTCACAGGCCTAGTTGCTCTGCGGCATGTGGGATCTTCCCGGACCAGGGCTCGAACCCATGTCCCCTGCATTGGCAGGCAGATTTCTCAACCACTGCGCCACCAGGGAAGCCCCCTTCTTTCTTTTTTTTTTTTTTTTTTTGATGTGGACCATTTTTAAAGTCTTTATTGAATTTGTTACAATATGGCTCCCTGCATTGGAAGGCGAAGTCAACCACTGGACCGCCAGGGAAGTCCCGAAATACATTCTTTATATTGGATAATAATATTGTAGCAATGTCAGTTTCTGGTTTCCATAACTGTACTATGGTTATGTAAGATGTTAACATCTGGGGAAGCTGTGTAAAGGGTACATGAAATTCAGTGTAGTATTTTTGCAACTTTTTCTATGTCTAGAGTTATTTCAAAATAAAAAGCTAGGTAAATAAATGTAGTCTTTGCCCTCAAGAATTTGATAGGTTTGATAAAATACTGGCACATACAGTTATAAAGAACATGTGTACTTGAACACCAAAGGGTCACTATTCAATTAGAAGTGCTATAGCTTTATGATGTGATATACATTTTAAAATTTTAAGTGTCATAAAATGATGCTTCTGGACTATGTACAGGTCATAAAGAAACAAGGCTGGAATTAACCTCTGAAACTCAGTTTCACATTTGTTACAAACTTGAAGGCAGAAAAGGTTTGGGTTAATCATTAAAAGGGACATCATAAAGTTATGATTTAGTGATTTTAAAGACAATCTGGTATTCATCTCCAAATTACACTACAGAAACAGAAAATTAAAAAATTAATAACCTGCAAGCCTATGTCTCAATAAACTATCTTCCTTAGAATCTTTACATGGATCAAAATCAACAGATGATTCCTAAACATCAACTGAGAAAGAAATATTTCAGTATTGATGTTCATCTATTCAGAGCAGAATACTCTTGGTGTTTGGCTTGCTCAGTCTCAGGACAGAAAGAAATTCTTATTTGAGTAGCCAAGCTTCTACATGTGATAATAAGCACATAGATTTATGAACAGATGAAAAATTGTCTTTGGAAGTGATGTTTACCTTGCTTTTCTATCAGTGATGATCAGATTCTGTGAGGTCAATTCTGAATTCATTACCCATTAAAAAATCTTTGGAGGGGAGACATCTGGCAGCACATCTCCCCACGGTGACCTGGTTACGTCTTCAGTAGACCCTCACACTGGCAAAGGAACCCTGACTATCGTACTTAAGTATTGGTAAAATTTCAAATTAGCATGAACTGTGTGTCAAGCACGTCAACTTGCTTCTTTTTCACAACTACTTTCCCACATCTATGTAACAGAAAACTTTCACAGGGCCATTTTCTTAACTCTGCCTGAGTAAGATCAACAGACTTAGGCAACCTATGGTTCTCACATTATTCTCAGCACACAAGCAATGCTCTCTTGGTGGCTAAAACAACCCCTAATGTCTTAATAGCAAGTGAATTTATCTTTCCACCCTTGATGTAAAGTTTTAAGAATTGTACTCTGGATCCTGCACCAAAGGAAATAAAAAATTTCAGACATATACACAGAATAGATCTTCAAAGTAGAGTCAAGAATTGAAACTGAAAATATAAACATTTTGATGAATCCTTAATTCATATTTATTGTAGCTCAGAAAACTTAACTGAACATGGGGGTTTCCAAAGTTAGTCATTATTATTATTTTTTGTTTTTTGCGGTACACGGGCCTCTCACCATTGCGGCCTCTCCCGTTGCGGAGCACAGGCTCCGGACGCGCAGGCTCAGCGGTCATGGCTCACGGGCCCAGCCACTCCGCGGCATGTGGGATCTTCCCGGGCCGGGGCACGAACCCGTGTCCCCTGCATGAGCAGGCGGACTCTCAACCACTGTGCCACCAGGGAAGCCCCTAGTCATTATTTTTATGAGGAACATGGCCTTTCACTGGACCTGATTTGAAAGTATGCAAGGTTATCCAAGGACATTTACCATGGTGCATTTTTTTTTTTTTTAACTTGAAATAGAAAAATAATACCAATCCAGCACAGGCTACAGATGCCCCATGATCTGCATTTGCAAATCCGCTGAGAACTAACACTACAGAAAATATCTGCATTTTAGAAAGGGAGGGTGAAGGAGAAAAAACTCCTTCTTTACCCAATTCCTAATTGTTGGTAACTGGAATTGGGCATGACAGCCAACTGACAACTATCATTTGGCTAATTGTTGAAGCTGATTTACCAGACCTGTCTGGCTCTGCCGGGTACCTCCCTCCTCCACCACCATTCCAAGTATCTCCTAACAAATCTGGACTCAAGAGA